CTTTATCGGTCTATGCCACGCCGTGTGGCAGCTTGTATCCAGGCTAGAGGCGGGTCAACACCTTATTGAACTTGTTACTATAACTCTGCAATAAATTATTCAATTGTTCTGAAATTTTAATCATTTACTATTCTGTACATTGTCTTCCTATCAACCAATTTTCGTTTCAATTGGACAATTCCTTATTGGTGCATCAATTTTTTTGTTATAGAGTGTATGTTTATTCGGATAAAATACGTAATTTTGTATGATTTCGTAACCTATAATATCCTTTATGCCAATTAAATAGCATATTTGAGGTCACACCCTCGAACCTCAAGATAGAATCCTAGAATCAAAAGTTATTCAGGGTTGTTTTTTTTTTAAATTTTGCTCACTGTACATTGTCTAAGATTACTCGAAAAAAATACAGTTGCTTTTGGTATTGCTTTTAATAGGAAAACATTATACAGTAAGTAAGTTGATAAAGTTTGAATTTTACAATTGCAAGTTTTTTGTTCTTTCTAACATTAAAGATAACATCATAACTTGATGCATCAAACTAATTATAATGAAACATGCATTATTTACTAAAATACTATTTAGAAAATTAAAAAAGTACCCTCATAAATTTTTATTAATATAAGTTAGGAGTTGCAAAGCATCTAATATTTTGTATTTTCTTTTATTATAGTTGATGGAATATTTGAAATGGATGGCAAAGCGCTATAAGATATTTCGCTGAGCAAACTGAAATTGAGTCATATCTTGGGACAGTTTTTGATCTGGAAGTGGTTATTTTAAATTCAAACAATTTGTGTGAATGTCCTCTTATCGGCAATTTATTTTTTCTTTGTTTTGTGTTTGTTGTGTTTTGTTAAATTGCTCATTGCTTTTTATAAATAAAGACCTATGTCTTATATTCTTTATTTGCATGGATTTATTTTTTTCCTTTCATTTTCTGAATCTTCAGAAAATTTTTAAATTAGATGTTCACGAACATTCATGGTTAGGGAAATTTTAGTTTTAGAATAAAATTAATAAATTAGTAAACCGTTACAATTGTCATGTTTCGGAACATGCATTTGATTCGAAACATCGGGCTAGGTGTAAAGATAGGAAAGAAATAAGCAAACAACTGATTACTTATGTAGATTTCTAAGAAAGAATGGATGAAGATCACTAAAAACGTTTTACCAGTAATAAAAAAAGCAAAAATTGATACAAAAACTCGAGATTAATTTTTGAAATTCATAGTTTAATCTTAATAGTTCGAAAAAAAACAGAATACATTAAGGGAATAGAATAGATAAAAATACTGTCAAATATGAGGACTTAAAACATGTAATCAATGAAAATATTCATCAGTATTAAGAATAAAAAAATAAGCTAAAAATTTGAAATTGTAAGATTAAATGAAATGATTGCATATAGTGAAGAAAAGAAAAACAAAATTTAAAAGTATGACATTATATAAGAGCAATTACGATTTTGGAAAATTCAACATAAGACATAGGAGTCAATAACATAGGGATCATAGCACTTCAGGCTCCGCAGTTTCTTGGATAAGGGCGGGACTGTGACAAAAATTATATGTTCAATCTATAAAAGAGGATTTAATTTTTTTTTCCACTTTTGCAAAATTTATTTAAAAAGAGCTAAATTACTTTACGTTTTCATCGGCAGGATGTAGAATCTGATCTGCAAAATGTACTTCAAAATTAATTCAAAACTTTGATTTACGTCACGATTAAACATTTATTACTGTTATTATATCGAATGATTGATTCTTAAATAATTAATAACTTTATTAAAACCTTGATTTGATTACGATAAAACATTAATTTTACGTCGAAATATTGATTTTACGTCAAACATTGAGTTAACGTCAAAACATTCATTTTTACTTCAAAACATTTCTATAATTCTCTCTCTTCATATCGTTTATACTCTTGATGTAATATGTTGGAAAAATGGTGATTTTCTGCAGTTATTCAACGACTCTTAGTAATCAAATGCACTTGGAACTTACTTCCACTTCAAAAACATTCAAGAGCTGTCACTTTAGTACTTTAATACGCTACTACTCTTTGAAATTTAAAAACCTAGACTTAATAAATGAATGTTGTAATATTAAATTCAGTTCCAGTTTGATCGAGAAAACATGATTTTTTCAAAAAGTATTTCTGAGAATTTTCCTCCTATAACCTCTTCAATTCCTCTACTAATTTGCAAGTAGAAACAGCATCATATAAATAAAAAAGGACTAGTTCAAATGGTTAATATATTCATCATTATGAAAGTTTCACTAGTTTATTAACGCTTAAAATTTCCATAGATAATTTATGACGATAATTAATTGAGCGTATCAAAAGCAAAAATGATCATACAGAGATATGGGTGTAAAGCTATAGGTTCAGATTGTTAACTGTTACTGCTTATAACAAGTATAACTTCGCAGTTTTTATTAATCATTGGGTGAAAATGTATTCATCGTTTTTTACATCAATGTTAGATGAAAAATTGGTTTTAAAAAATGAAAAAATGACTAAAAGTATCTCCTATAACGTTATTGTTAAGACAAGAAAGAAGTGCTGTCTTAGAAAAATGAAGAGATAACTTAATATTTCCAATATCCATCTTTTACACCAATGGTTAGTTGATATTGTTGCTTTAGAAAAATAAATTAAGATATTTTAGAGAATATTTTACTCAAAGAAAGACATTCAGGTAAAATTACCGTACTCTACAAATGCATAAACATAATTCTGGTAATGAAAACCAAAATATGTGGTATTTATAGCATTCATTTGGAAATGTCTCCGTTCATATGGTAATAGTTTAACAGAAATTCTTGTTCTTAAAATTTTAATTTTTACTAGCATACATTTAGTAAAGCATTCCCTCGAAAGTATGTTGTGGGCCAGGGGGAGTCTTGGAGGTTAAGGCTCCACAATTTTGTAACCAACGACATGATTGTGGTGGTCAGCACTGAGCACAGACCGTCTTTACTTCCCAGACAGGCTGGTATCCACCGATCTTATTTGGGTGGTCTTCAAAGCCGCCACAGTAACACAGTTCAGAGCCATAACACTGAGTCATTGTGACTCATACATTTAGTAAGTAACACAGAACTAAAAAGTAAATTTAACCGAATCAAGAGTTTTCATGACATGCTCTAAAGAGTGATGACAAAATTACCAAATTTTACCACATTCACAAAATTTTACCGCAGATTATAAAACCCTATTTAATTGTTAATTTTTACCAAAATCATTCGCAAAGCACTTCGGTAAAATCTACCATCTTTTTGGTGTACCACAGAAACACAGAAATTTTTACAATATTTTTGTAGTTCTGACCACACTTTTTTTCTCAGTGTATATTATAAACATCAAAGCGTCATTCCCGATTAGCATCCTATAGTATATTGATAAGAATTCAATTCTTGAAACTGAATTATTACTTTTATTAACGGTCTCATAATATTCCCTAAAAATTCCTCGTCTGGAGGATGCATTAAATAGGCAGGCGTGTCGTTTTATTCATGTTCAATTGAAGAAACTTTTATGTAATCACTTCCTCTCTCCCTTTCTCATTGTATCCCATAAATGGTTCAATGTGGGTCGCTGAACGGACATTTCTACTCGCTCTACTGCTTTAGAAATCGAAATAGTTTTTTCAGTTTTAGTAGGTGATTCAATAAGTTTTTCCTTTCCTTCAAAGATTTAATCATAATTTTCAGCTTTTTTAAAAATTATTTTTAACGATAGAATTCGGAAATGAAAAGTTTAAACATAACATCACTATCATTAGGTTTCTTTAAATGTAAAGGGTTTCAAATGCCGCTCATGCTTTAAAAATGTATCCAAGTTAAGAATTGCACTGTAGAAAAATCATGATCAAATTACTGAAATATCTTACGAAAAATAATATCTGATATGCTGTAATTTTTACACTTAAAATTACTGAGAAATCAATGTAATGAAATATTACTGTAAAATTTACGGTATAATATTTTACGGTAGAAATGAATTCTAGGGATGATGCATGATACGGATGATATGATGATGCATACGGATGATAATGAAGTGCCGATACTTTATACCGTAACTTTTTCCGGAAACTTTTTTAAAGTGTGAAGAGCGTTTGCTGTTAACAAATAAAGCCCCGTGAAGAAGAAATCCCAAATAACGCTCTGAGAGCAGTGTTCCTTTTAGTACATTCTGTTTATTTCGCATTAATTGCATTTTTCCTTTTATTTAGCGTTATTCATTATAAAAAACAGTTGATTTTCAATAATCTCAGTCAGTTTTTAGTGTTGTTGCTTTTTGTCAAAGTTAAGCAAAATGTAATTACCCATAATTTATTATTACCTGTATTTTTGCACTGTGACAGCTGATTTTATATTGATTGCTAGTAATTTAAGAAAACTATTAATTACTGTTTGTATTCCATCCAGTCGGTTTTGTGTTTTTCTTTATAAGAGCTAAGAGAATGTAATTAATCGAAATTTATTAATTCCAGTCTTTCTACTCAGTATTAACAGAATACTATGCAGAGTGTTTGTAATTTCACCCAGCTATTTTAAATATGTGCAGTGAGCAAAATAAAAACAGAACATTTAAAAACTTTTGATCAAGAGATCAGGTGCGTATTTTCCATGATTTGATAGGCTCATTTTGAATACACTAATAAATTAATGCCGGAATAGAATTTTAGAAAATAAAATACTCAAAAATGTACAACTTCTCTAAAAAAGCATTTTTTGCTTTTGGGTGAATTTGGATTCTTCACCCTCTATATATCGAAGTAAACCACAGTCTGGCCGTCTGGTAAAAAATGGTTCTTGCTCATGGTTCTGCCACAATGTGAACACCAATAAGTTGGGTACATTTTACCAACGCACTTCGGCAATGATTTTGGAAGAACTAGCAGTAAAATATGCTTTTAATGGTACATAGTAAAAATTTCCTAAATATGGTAAAATTTGGTAATCTTATCAGAATTCCGGCTAAATTATTACAATATGAACTGAAAAACTACAAAATGACTGATTTAAATACCATATGGAAGAATTTACCCCGACCCGCCCTTATTTAGGGCATACGGGTAAATGTTTATTAAAATCAAAAAAAATATCTAGAGAACAGTAAAAACATAAATTACATAAAATACACATCAGAAATTTAAATACCATATACTTAATTTTTATTTCTATAAATTATTTGTTAGCAAAAATGTCAGTACCATACAGAACGGTAATTTTACCGGAAATTTTTTCTCCGTGTAAAGTCTATACTCATAATGAATGAAGTTCTTATTGGTGGTAAAATGCTTCAATTTTTTCACCATTAAAAATTACTGAATTCTAAATTTGAATAGAGAAATTTAAATTTCGTCTTTTTAAAAAGTCTTTTTTTTCTGTTGTTAGTTTCTAGAAACTATTCTAAGAATATACATGCTGTCCTTTCTTTCCGCTGGCCTTATGTAACAGTAAAAATGGCTCAAAATTCAAATATTGTATGAATTTTACGATACTTCAAATAAAACAATATGGAAAGTTTTTTTCTCATGAGTTGCACACAAATGTAGCCATATTTTTTCTAAAATCATTCGTCTTTAAATGTAACAGTTACTCAAGTTCTACAAATCCATGAATATTTTAAAATAAGAATATACCCATGTTACAACCAAAATAAGATCATGAATGTAAACACTTGATTCTGTCTCTGTATAATTAGAATTTACATAAAATTCTTCTGTATGAAGCACTTAGAAAGAGGTGCACTCTTTACAAGTGCTCCTCAAGTGCTTTCTACTCCCTCACAACGGCTGAGTTCCGATTACTTTAAAACTCATAAACCATAGAAAAACAAACAAGAGTGTTTTTCTTGAATTTTTTTTCCCGTAGGTAAAACTTAAGAAGCTGATTAAATTTTTTTAACTCAAGTCGTATCATATTTAAATTTATTACCTAGACACCTCAATTTACTTTGACAAGCAATTTTGCATTTTTAAACTTTCCATTTGAGTTAACTCACGCAATCCTATATAAAGTTATAGTATTTCCTTAATTTCCGATCTAACTCATCCTTATCTCTTCTATTGCTTCTGAATTTCCCCAAAATTGAATTTGAGGTCAAGAAAGTTATCGTGATGGAGTGTATTATTTCAGGATAAGTTCGAAAGTGTTCTTTTTTATCGTCATGGGTGGATTACAGCTGGAAAAAAACGGTTTCTTTATTTCCTACACCAAAAGAACATTTTCCGCTCTATGGGCGCTTCTTGACATATTTACATTTGTCCAAAGTTGACCATTTTTCAAACTATAATACTCGTGTCTTCATAATAGTAAGATCTTACGTAAGGTGATCTGATTTGAGGCTATTTTACATGCAAGTTGCCATTAAACAGGAAGAAAAAAAACGACTTAAATTTTTGCCTAAGTGCCCTTTGGAAGAATTTCACAAAATTGCTTGTACCGTTTCATGGTGGTTAGTTTTATAGGGTACAAGGAAACTTTATACTCAGACGAGATAAAAGAAAATGAAAGAATAGTTTTACTTCTAATTTTTTGGCAGTTTAAATGTTTTGTTAAAAGCGGCTGTTGTTGGTTAAAATAGAACATTTGTCGAGTATTTGTTTCAGAGCGTTAAAGCGAGTTCAATGGATGCTATAGGTGTTGGTGAACTTTCCTAGTTTTACACCTTCAGCGGAGATTCGTGCTTGACTATACTTTCAACTTTGTTTTCCAATTCGGATAACTATGCGAATCATATACAAGGTAATATCATTTTTCATTCAAGTGCCCATCTTTAATCTTTTGATTTACTCATCTGATTTCTACTTAGCTATAAATTTAGTTATTAATTAATAATTTTGGTTACTGTCATTGTAATTCCTTTTTCGTGTTCTTACAGTTAATTTTTCACCTAGAAACAATGTTTAATTCTTCCTCTTTCTAATAATTTCATCACAACAATAAGAATTTATATAGAGAGAAAAATGCAAAGAGGAAACTTCCAAGTTAAATGTAAAAATATGTATATAACTGATAAATGATATCGAAATAAAGTATAAAATGGAGTAACAATATTTTTGTTAATATTATTTTCTAGTTGATTACCCGTTCACTATACGAGGTAAAAAAAATATCTAATCAACAAATCGGTATTTTTAAACAAAGCAAAATCATGCGCAAAACTGAAAGACATATATTGACAAAATTAATTAGTTTATAAAAATTCAAATTTTTATTTACTTTTATTTGTTGCCCTTCTTGTGAATTTATGTTATTACATTGAGGAGAACATAATTTTAGAAGTTCAGCTCATAAAAGTAAAGATCAGCTATATTCAGCTTTATTTGGTAAGGCCATTGCTGGATTTCAAATCCTGATAATCAAAAGTAATCGTAATCAACAATATTCGACGGTACTTATCCCTTTCTGTAAGCTAAAAAAATCTATTTCCACAGCACCTGTGTAGTTATCTTTGTACTAATATTCATATATTTAGTACCTATTAAAAAACACCACGTATTATACCTAGAGAATATATTACCAGAATTAATAAAGCATCATTGACGCCGATAACAACAAGGCAATTTTCCATGATTCTTCTAGATGAATAAGTTTATTTTTGCCATTAATTTAGCTTTCAGTACAAAAAGTTTTTTTTTAATTTCAATTTATATCTATCACCACAAAATGAATTATGCCTCATTTACATAAATAATACTCTGCCAATTTTTAACCGTTTTTATGTACGAACAAGTACATTTTCTTCATTAAAATAGCTTTTAAGTACAAAAAATATTTTTATTTCAATTTGTATCATTACTAAATATTAATTAATTGCAATTACCGAAAATAATTAATAACGACACTCATATTTTTATATAATCGTTTTTAGCGAACTAATTTCTTACTAGTTCCAAAGACCGTACAAAAATCGTCAAACAATGGACGCTAGAAATGTTTTATTATAGATGTTTTATTATGCGTCTTATAAATGTGGTATTAAATGGAACTGTGATATACTGGGGCTGTTGTGAGGAGAACTTATTGTACCAATATAGGTGCTTAATATAAGTACTATGGTTATAAGTTTTTCACCATCCTCCGAAACGGGTAAGTACCCCATTATCACCGTCGCATGACATCTAATACACAACCTTTATTTTTTTCTTGTTTGTTGGATATTCCACAAGGATTCGCACTATTAGAATATTTTACTATTAGAATATGAGTTAGTTCATTTCACACGAAATACACATTAACTATTCAAATAGAATTATTTAAATGTGACATTAGGAATTTACCTTAATTTTCTCTTTTCTCATGACGTAATTGATAACTTCAAATTTATTTCATTAGTTCTTGTAAAGTTTCTAGTAGTAGTATTTAATTTCATAGAAACACGATTTAAAAGAGTAAATATATGTACAAGAAGTGCGTGGTTTAATTTACGTTTCAAATTACTACTTCGATGACGTTATCACGGAAATGGATAACATTGGTATTACATGGAATAACCTAACATGGGATGCATGTGATAATTCATGAAAGGCGCGATAAGACATATTTTGGAATCGCCATCTAACATATTACTTACGTTATGAAATATATATCAAAACATGTGAAAGTCTCTTTTTTTTTTTTTTTTTNTTTTTTTTTTTTTTTTTTTTTTTTTTTTTTTTTTTTTTTTTTTTTTTTTTTTTGCATGTAGAGCGCGATTTGGTGGTCAGAGAAAATTTTAAAGAGAATATTTAAGTTTGTTATGTCTTCAAACTTATGTAAAGTGTACAAAAAAATAAACAGACCACTTTGATACACGAACCATAAGGTGTACAAGGCACAAAATGACAGAAACGGACTTCCCTGAATAACTTTTGATCTAATGACCAGATCTTCACTTTATAGGATTTCATCTTAATGGTTCGAGAAGGGGAACCTCAAATATTCTAAATTATAAATGCAGATGATATTTTAAATTATGAAATCAGAGAAATACATTCTGAACACCCAAAGAATAGGAGGGGTAGACGCAATCTAGGAAAAATGGTCAGGAGAGTCGTCCAAGGTTTAGACCCCTTAATGTTAATTTTATTTTTTGTTTAATTCGCCATATGACGAGAACCTTTTTAGCGAATTTAAGAACTTTTTCACACAATTTTAAAATTTTTTTGTCCAAAGATAATATGCAAAAAATAAATTTTAGTAAATATTTATTATTTTTTATTATTTTATTTAATAATAGTTGAAAAAAATTCTGAATTGTGAGGTATGCAGTTTTCTTTATCATTTTTAAATATGTAATTTTACAAAGCAATATATAAAATTTTAGTTAAGTTTTTCAAATAATTCCTGAGAAATCAAATTTTAATTATACGACTTTTTTAAAATTCAATATCTCCGGAACTGTTCAACTGCTTTCAAGCTAATTTTGAATTTTTCCACTTAAAATTGCATTATTTAAAATGAAATAAAAATTGTGTACCATACAATTCAAATTATTTTTGATTATTTATAAATAAAATAATCAAAAATAATAAATATTTACTTAACATTATTTTTTTGCATGAAACTATCTTTGGAGAAACGAATTTTATAGCTGTGAGCAAAAATTTTCAATTCACTTAAAACCTTCTTGAGAAATGGCGAAATAACTTTAACATTAAGGAGTTCAAACTTTGCTTCGCTCTCTTGATCAAACTATGGCAACAGTATTTCCAAAATTACGGCTACCCCCTATATTTTGAGAGTCAGAAATTCGAATCCGTTGAAAAAAAAAGTATGTTTATTCAAAGAAAATACACTTTTGTGTCCACAATTCCACAATTTAAAATATCGTCTGCACTAATTAATCAGCATATTTGAGGTAACCCCTCGAACTTTTAAGATTGAATCCTAGAACGTGAAGATTCAGTCATTAAATCAAAAGATAGTTAGGATGGTTCGTTAATTTTTTTAGAGCACTGTATACTTATGAACATAAATGGCATAATTTTTTTCTTCGTTAAGTCATTAGCTTATAACTAATTTTTTGTAATTGAGCATTTTGAGTAAGTTTAATAATTTTGTTATTCACTTCATTGTTTTTTCTTTCTATTGTAAGAAAAAAACTAAGTTAATAAATGAGTAGTTAAATCCAGTCATACTTTAAAAATTGATTAATTCTTGAAAATTTCATTTCAGTTTTATTTAACAATTTGCAAAACAAAAGTAGTTAATCTACAGTCGTCGTTTTTAAATGGTCACCGTTTTTGCTATTTTTACTTTAAAAATTAGTCATGCTCAGCAATTTTTAAAAAAATCAAACTTCACTTATTCATGTCATTGTGTTATTAATGTCAAAAAATGAATTTTTTATTTTTGTTTGCCTTTAGTAACTTTTCAAATTACAAGAACAAAATAAAAAGCTAAAATATTGTGAAATGTATACAAAATATAATAAGGCACGTGACCCAATTTCCTTTTTTCCTTTAAAGTCTTTTAAAATAAAACATAATAAAGGTTATACCAAAACTGCTATTTTTAGCTTCAATTTAATTATAATTAAACTGAAAGAATAAGAAATAAATAGTTACAAATGCATAATACGATATAAATATATGGACATTTAATTACGGGAAAGAAATAAAAACGATAAAACTGGAGAATAACGGTCCTTAAATTAAAGCTTTAATTAACATTTCGTTATGGAATTTCCTAATTGATAGCAAAACTCTTGTATTTGGATATAAGTAGTTCTAAAAGTTGAAGAACTTGTATTTTCAAAAATCTAACCTAAATTTTATAATAACCGATATTTCAAGTAATTTAATAATATTTACATAATTTAATACATTTAATAGCCATTTCTTATTAAACCACCAATGACAATAATTGGAGCCGCTATTTGCAGATTAAAGGTTAATTATTTACATATTTTTCCTAAGCTAGTTGCAGATTTATACTTATAGTCATTTACATAATGATATTATATTTTTTATAAATTAATATTTAATCATTTGGTAATTTACTCTTAATTTTACATATTTATACATCGTTAGCAGATTCGTTAAACTTCGTTATTTAGATATTGACACAAAGTTATCGATATATTGACATTTATTCTCATAATTACACCTAAATATTTACGGATTTAAACTTAATTATTTACATGTTGAAATACAATTATTTATCTATTTGCAATTGGTGTTAATTGCAGATTTGCACATTTTTATTTACATGTTTACGTATATCCATATAAATAATTCACAACTTTTGAAAAACTTTTGATTGAAAATTGAAGAACTTTTTAGAGAATAGTTCTTTTTTACCAAGGCCAACCCATATGCCATGCTTTTGTGGCGTATTACCACAAAGATTTTTAAATACCAATTCACTTGTATATAAGGTTTTTTAACTTGATTTTATTTTGACGTACCTATTGATAGATTGAAGGTTGACATAGTCGATAACTATGTCCCCATATTGGTGACCCAAATGTGATATGAACTCCCAAACATCAGTGGATGGTCCACACTGAACAGTTCGTTGATTTGCTCACAAAATAGCGGGCAAAAATCCGGTGAAGTAAGCACAATTCTCACGGCTAATAAAGAAAAAAAAATAGTTTGCGGAAAAAAAAATATTAATAAATAAACTGCATTATACAGCTAGTGGTATTCGTTCATCGAATTCTATCACAGATAATATTTTGGAAGGGGAATAATGTGGCATATCTACCACTGAGATTATTAAATACCAATTCACGACTTATTAACTTGATTCTATCTTTTGATAGATGAAAGCTTATACAGTCGATAATAATGTCCCCATAACATTTCATCATTGGGGTATCAGAAGTGTGTACAAAACACTTTCAAGGAGCACCTTATTAAATATTCCAACGTTACCCCCACGGTAAGGAGGACATCCGTGCTTCTGACTGAGATTTGAATCCGGGATCTTTGAGACAGGTGAGCACTCTGTCCACCATACACTACAGTCGGCTTATAAAAGAAGTAATGAGTTGAATTTTGATGCGGTCTCAAAATTTTCTCGAAGTTCTACATTCTGACATACGAATGCTTTGGACGTTTTCTTTTGAACATATCAAATCGCCACACTGGTCACTTTTATTTAAATGTAAGCAGTTAAGTGTGAAAATAATAATTTTTTAATGAGTGATGGGTTAAGACCCAATTTTTTTTTATGCTTTCAATGTCTTAAACTAATATTTCAAAAAGAAAATTTTATTTAATTTTAAATTGTTTTCATTATTTCAGATATTAATATTTACTCTGATTGCTACCAATTGCTATTCAGCTCAACAAAATGGACAGGTAAAGTTTTAAGAACTTATTTTTTATTTACTTCAATTTGTTTTCATTAAAGGAAACTTCTTGAGATACCTTGGTCGGATTGTCGTGTACAGTGTATATATATATATATATATATATGNATATATATATATCACCCTGAATAACTTTTGCTCTATTGACTTCTGATTTTCACGAAATACTTGTCAATCTTAATGATTTCTGCGAGTGAGCTTAAAAATTTATTGCTAATTACCAATTAAGTTACGAAATCAGATACAAAAACGTACTTTCTCTGAATAAGCATTTATTTTTTTACATATGTGGATGCTTCACAGTCAAAATATAGGAGGGTAGGTGAAATCTGGATATTTCTCACTTTTAGTACAATGCACAAAATGTTTTTACATCAGAAAAATGTTCGATATGCCTTATTTTGCTAAATAAAAATAACTAAAAATAGAAAATTGTGAAAAGATTCCAAACCCATGCTGTTTTTAAAACCATCATCTCCAAAAATTGTTCTTTTTCTAACTTGTTCTTAATACTAAAATAAGGTATGACAGGGCATTTTTAGATTACAACTTATTTCAGGGTTGCACTTTTTATGTTCAGTAAATAATTTTTGACCATTTTTTTTTCATCTTTTCAGAAATTACAAATAGAAAAGTTTTTCTTATATTTTGTTATTAGAAGACAAGAATGTTAATATTTCATTGGTGCTTAATTCAACTGTTTCAATGATTTCATTATCCCCAGAATTGAAATCTGTTTGTTGTTGAAACAGTTAGAATGAAATCAACTACTATTTTTTTAAACTGATTCCTTTATTTTTTGGAGAGAAACAGGAAGAGTGAGGAAAAGCGGGATAAAAACCCGTTTACAATCATATTATTTATGCATTAAATCATATAACTTCAGTAATTGCAAACAAAAAAAGAAGGAAAAAATAAAGGGTGCAGAAAAAACTACATAGAAATATTCTCTTAAGCATACTCTAAAGCATAAAAAAATGCATTTCCAAAAAATTTCGAGTAAAATGGAGACGTTAATTTGTTCGAAATAATTGGCATTGTAATTATTTAACATTTCCTGGGGAGAGGGATCATTCCATTGTCTCATTCGATTTTTGTAAATTCAATTGTAGATGGAATCGTTTGTCTTGCTTAAAACTTTTTTTTTAAGAATTGCATTAAAAAAAAAACAAATTGTGGTATTGGATTTTTAGATTATTTTGACTAATTTAATATTATTATTTTGTCAATCTAAAACCCATAACCATTATTTTACGTATAACTCATTTTAATACCGCATTCAGTATTTTACTTTAATATACTGTGCTGCTGGCACACAAAAGTTCACGTATATTATTGAGCGCTCAAAATATGTCAACTTTTTTTACAATATTCATATTTTTTGGAGTTGATGAAATTTTTATCAGCAAGTGTATACTGTCTAACATTTGGGTCACGATCATTATTTCAATCAGAATCTTATGCTCGTAAAAGCAATAATCTGTACTTTATTATTTTAGCAGGGTTTATGTGGCTATTTAAACATTAAGAAAACTTTGGAATCAATATTGCAAGTATAAAGTTATCTTTAATTAAAATAAAATTTCAAAGCAAAAGATTTTGTTACCAGATATTTGGCGTTATTGAAATTGATCATTGAATCCTGTACTGAAAATAAACCTAATAAAATTAATTTATCTTCGGGGTTTTGGTACAATCATTTAAGTTTTTTAAGGACCTTAAGAGCTATGTTTAAAAGGAGTAAATTGCATCAGATATATCTATGTATATCTGATGCACAGATATACACAGATATCAGATATATCTATGTATATCAGATATTGCATCAGATGTATCTATGTATCTATCAGATATATCTATGGAGAGAATTATAGAGTAAGTTTGTAATAAAAGGGATTAAGCAACGAAATTATAGTAGACATATTTGATGATACATATTCGTAATTGAAGAACATGTTGAGCGACTTGTTTTGAATTTTACATTTTACGAGTTTGCGAAAATCCATTCAGAATGTATAGAAACATCAGGATGCTCTCAGAAAATAATCTTTAATTAAAGAAAACCATGTAACTTACATATTTGGCAGAATGAAGCGGTTTCTTAAATAATGAATCACACAATATTCTTAAGCAATGCTTATATCAATGTTTTTTAACACCAATTAACATTCCCTAATTTTTTTATTTATCAAAAAATACATATCATGAATAATATAAAACTTCGTGAATGTGTATGATATACTCTCTCACCGATACTCTAAAACATTTTTCCGGGACACTTTTTTGTAGTCTCGAAACCTTCTTGACTAGAAAACTCGATCAAAGGTGTAAAGTTGATTTGCCCTACAATTCAGTATAAAATTGAAAGAATTAAAATGAATTTTGGAAATTTGGTGTAAGTATAAAATCTTTATCCTTAAAAAAGTTTTTAAAAAAGTAATAACTAAATAAAAAACGTAAAAATACACAAATAATGTCAATAAAAAGTTTTTGTGTTCAAATTTTAAAATCTTGAAAAATAAGTAATTTATTAATCCATTCAAAGTATAGTTTCAAACGACGCAAAAAAAGAAAACAATCTTTGCCTTTCTGTCAGAAATCAAGTTAAAAAAATATATGTTGCCTAGAAACTTCAGGATATTCGTTTATTTAACAATTAAAAGATAAGCTTTCTTGAGCTAACTGAAAAAGATGAAAGAAAAATCTTTTTATTTTTTATTTTATTTTGTCAACTTGGTTGCTTAGAAACGGAGAAACACAAGGTATTTCCCGCTTGTCGATCACATAGTTCGATTAAGTTTATAATTGCTCCTCCTGCTACGGTGATATTATTTTGCTATTTTAGGGAGACTAGCCAAATATATATAGCTTCCTAGCACCCAAATTTATGACACAATTCTTTTCGAAATTTTGTCCACTGTATTTTAAGAGTCCGGAATCCATATCGGTGAAGAAAAACAAATGTTTATTCAAGAAAATCACGCTTTTCTGTCTGATTTCGTACTTAATTAATATTTCGTACTAATTAATCGGTAGAGATCACCCTCTTGAACCATTGAGATTGACATTTAAGACGTGGGAATCAGATCAGTAGAGCGAAAGTTATTCAGAGTGATATCTCTTTAATTGTGTACCTTTAGCCACAAAATAAGTTATATGGAAGTATTTGTAACACCCAAAGAAGAAAAGATTGCATTCAGTGCAAGTAGTTTATATCTGTAACCTTATGGGATTATCTGCAGTGTTAGGGACTGTGATGATGCTATCACAATACACCCAAATGTGAAACAGTATTGCTCTCTTCTAAATCTAAAAACATTAATTTTTAACGGTGCCTTGCGCCTAGTTTATCCTAACTACAACCGGGAGTTTAGCCAAGCCGGTTCCCCGGATGGACGCCATCATTCAAGCATTCGAGGTGTGTTTTCGCTCGGTGTTGTTGAACGAGAAATTTTTGGGATAAGATCCTCTTTCCTTCTCTGCGTGCTCGTTTTCTGATTTTCATGGTTGTCCACAAATTGTTAAGGTTGCGCATTTTATGCGAATCTAGTAATTAGGATATAGTAATTAGGAAAATTAGTAATTAGGATGGCCCCACTTATACGACACGTGCCCATGGCAGCTACATCCCAGGGACCATTTGCAGTTTTCCAAGCATGTGCTAGAAATTTTTACATTTTAGTTGCTTAGTAGTTTTTGGCAATTAATCTTATTAGGAAAAAATCTAGAATACTTACATTCAAAAACAGGCCTAAGATGTACACCATCCTGCAATAGTTTAACCCGTTTATAATGAAAAGCAGATTTTTTCATAATCTGTGTTTATATGCAGTTCTAGGGTTGGTTTGCATTTCTGACCTCTCACGAGCGTGCTTCAACCCCCATTTTCTATTTTCAAGTAATTTTCTGTAAAGTTTCAATTACGAAAATTCTCTTGTGGAACCAATCGAAATATTATTTTCTTTAAAGTATTTTTAATCCACTTGTGTCAAAGTTTGAATTAATTTGAAGCTTAAACTATATTACATATACTGTCCAATACCTAGGAATGATCCCATTTAATGTTGCTTTAAAACTATACTCACTATTGTAAGTAAAAAAATAAATCAGCAAAAACTTGTAAACTGTTAAGTTTATAACATAAATAATACATTACGTTTATATTATAAAAATCTTCAACTAGAATATGAATATTTTTAAAAATTTCAACATAAAAATGGTCTTACAAAAATAAAAATAAATTCTTCTATAGGGGCTGAATGAATATTTATATAATTACTCATATGTATAGAAATATGTTTTTTTCCTTTTCTTGTTATAGCAGTAATGGATATTTTTAATTACTTTCCAGAGGGAAAAACTCACTGGTCTACAGGTTTACATCTCACCAAGATCTGCAAAAGACAGAAGTCAAAGAGGTTCTGAGGCCGAGAATAACGTAGCAGATATAAAGGCTAAATCTATCCAGCTGGAGATAAGTTCAGGGGACAAAATTGAGAACAAAGTAGACCTGCTAATAGCAGCTACCAAAGAAGTTCAAACTACCCCCGAGGCTGATAGATACTCCCCTACATATAATGCAGCCATGGGAACTAAAAATGACCATCAACTTGATAAGCTGAAAGATGATACTTCTTCAAATTATTTTGGTCCAACTCAACGCAATTCTGAATCTCTCTTTTCACCAGAAGAGTATACGGGTATGTTTCCTTTTCCTGCAATGAGATCCCTACTCCCCCCTTCTTTGTTCCCGATGGGTAGTCATTTTCCAGCGATGCGACATTTTGAGGACAGCTATGAGCCCCATTCCTTGAGTAACAACATGAGAAATTTACACGGGGATCCTCAATTAGATCTTGCACTTTTACAACCTGTATACCCACATAGTTCACAGCAAAACATGGCTGGTAGTCCACAACTTCATTCGAATCCTTATTCAGTAGGAGGTATGGCTCATGGCTTTAATGAACAGCAACATCCTAACAGTGCAGCTGTACGAACTCACCAAAACATTCCAATTATTCAAACGATTCCCTCGCACATGTATCCTCATCACACTCCTTTAATGGCACCAGTTGGAGATTTACAACAGGCACATTACAGAAAGGTAAACCAAGAGCCCAATTCAGCCCTTCCTGATTCATACATGCGGAATGATCCAAGGCAAGAAAGGCTACTTCGCCAACCTTATCAACATGCTCCACAAGGAGCACATGAACATATTCCGAGAAATCAATTGCATCCCGGAATACAACACTTAAGTCAAAATGTCCAGGGTCACTCGATACCTCAACCTGGATCATATATTCAAGCACATCCCTCAGCAGGCTCAAGACTTCCTCAAAATCTATCGCACTTAGATCTGCTTAGAGAACTTCAGAAAACTTTACACCCCAGTACTGGACAAAATGTTCAACAGCGCGATCAGGTTAGACACATCCCCCCTCTCACTGAGCATCAAGAAAGAAACAGATTGTACGCCCCAGTACAACAAAATTCTGCATTGACGAAAGCTGAAAGAGACTCAAAGAAAGAAAATGATCACTATATGAGACAAGTAATGCCTGTTCATCAAAACTATAGAACAATTAACATGCTTCAAGACAAACCTATCATGCCGAATCACGCTAAACCATTGACAAATAGACCAACATATCATCGCCAATTGCCTCAATACACATTAATATCACACGAATCACTACCCAAATACTTGAAAGAGCAGCAGCCAACTTCCAACCAGCATCAAGATTCTTCGGAAAATTTAAGATCTCACCATAATAATTTAAACTCAAATGAGCATCAACCACAACTGAGATCCCCGCACTATCACAACCGTCTTCCTGCTGATTTAATAGCAAGAGATCATCCGAGAACTACAGGAAGGTACCATGCCCCCCAGAGATTACCTACATCAACTAACTATGAAGGCAACATTCGGTCACCTAACCCAAGCTCTGATTTGCGGTCTAATGTACATGAAATTCAGCAACACTTTCATCACAGAAATATTTACACAGAACCACCCTACGAAAGACCTTCCAATATCGATTCCAACGAAAGCACTGGAATAAACTCTGAATTAGCGAGCAATCACGCAGTACCCTCCAGTGGCAGACCAACCTATGATCTTAGTGAAGTGGATCTCAACAATCTCCCTAGTAAAAAGTTTATGAAGAAGAGTCGGAAACGTATGAGATCTAAAAAGGATGATTTGGAAGGACATGCGTCTCACCAATATATCATAAAAATTCGGTGAGGACTAATCATCAGCTTGCATGAAGATATATCATGTTTTTTTTTTATATCGACTACTTTGTAATTTTTATAAATAAAATAAAATTGTACTTATGATTCCTTTCTAAATTAATCAATGGAAGTGTTTAAAGAAAATAATTACACAATAATAACATGCTACAATAATTACACAACAATTCAACAATAACTTAAAACAGTAATGAAATAAAAAGTGGTTCAAAATTTTCGTAAGTATTTATTTTAAAACGTGGGTTTTTAACCCCCTCATGTATAAAATCTTCATTTCATTTCTAAAAAATATTTAGATATGCTACGAACTAGTATCACAGAAGTGCGGTGAAATAATTTATTTTTGGAAATTTTTGTCCTGCATTGTCAAAATTCGGTAATCTCGTGTTCCAAGTGGGAGTATAAGCCTTTGTGGTAAATTTTATCAGTTAAATTTTAGTTATGGAAAAAATGAATGTTTAAACTTCATTTATAAAGTAAAAGGAGAAATAAAATAATAACAAACTTTATGATAACGTAATATGCTCTAAAAATAAATAAACAAAATATCAGATTTTAAATTCTTTCTCGAATCCTCCGTTGACTTCTAAAGAGAGAATTTCTTTCAGACATCTTGAATGGCCTGTCTCCTGATGTGGTCTCTAAGAACTGTTTTTGAGTCTTTAAGTCTTTAATATATATATATATATATATATATTTGCGC